AAATGTTGTTTTGTAAGTTGTTTTTGGTATTATAGATTTGATAAATGTTTACCATGCAGGTTCCTCTCCAGGGAATATTCTCATTCCACTGGGCCCATGTCGTTATGATAACTCCCTCGGTAATTATTTATGCTTGTTCTGTTTTATAAATTCTTTCTCTCCATCCTACTGCAAGACTTTGAATCTTGTAATAAACTAGTAAATTTCGACTTCTTTGATTGCTTCCATTTTATTTTGAGAACTACTTATTATACTGTAATTTTACTTGCTCAGGTCTCTTGACAAAGAAGTTCATTAACCTGATCAAACATGCAGAAGATGGTATTCTTGATTTAAATAAAGCTGCCGATACATTAGAGGTAAATTATATCTTTCAAGTAATGCTTCACTTTCAAATAAGTCCAAGTGGCTAAGTTTTTGTTTCAGCAGGTGCAGAAGAGGCGTATATATGATATAACAAATGTTCTCGAAGGCATTGGTCTTATAGAAAAGAAACTCAAGAACAGAATCCAGTGGAAGTATGGACCTGCTTTTTTAGTAAATAAATTTTATAGAAGTTTCTCTTCCATTTAGTTTTTACTTTCTTTTAAGAATTGATCAGAAAATGAGAAGTTTCTAATGGGTACAATTATGAAATAGGGGTGCAGATGTCTCACGACCAGGGGAAGTTGACGTGAGTCTTAATAGCCTACAGGTATGAACTTAAAAATAAATAAATTGGTCCTTGACATTTGCACACTGGATGACTTGGGTATAGTTTGTCCAAATTTATTGTAATAGGACTCAGTTTGTTGTTGATGTTGGCTATTTCTTTCTTCATTCTACTTAGCTGCATATAACGCTCACAGTTTGTTGTTTTATTCTACCTGCTTGTTATAAACATACAACTTAAATTGTCCTATCCTTGCTGTATGAGTTCAAATGGCCTAAGTGGAGCTCTTCTGCATTAGGAGATTGACAGCTGGGATCAGTTATGTTAAAATTCTCATAGCTAACCGCAAGAAACATCTATTAGTTGAATTATTCGTTCATTTATTTTGTTCTACATACCTCATGCTGCATCCATTTTCATTTGACAGTGGATGCATCTTTAATATAGCGCGCAACTGAGCTATAAATTTTGAAAGCCAATGGGAACTGAGCATCAATTATATTCTGGTCGTGGGTTAGATTAGTCCTCATCAAATTTTTGCTCCTCGCAGGCAGAAGTAGAAAACTTGAACATGGAGGAGCACAAATTCGATGAACGAATAAGGTCATAATTTGACACTTTTATCATTTCATGAAAAGACGTGATCACGACCTTTCCATTTATGTTTCTTGTTTTCAGTGAAATGCAGGCAAAGTTGAGGAGCCTAAGTGAAGATGAAAACAATCAAATGTAACCTCTGCTTTTTTATTCAACTAAATAATTATAACTTCAGGTGGCTAACTGATATTTTGATTGATAGTTTTTTTTTCCTCTTTGCCAGGTGGCTCTTTGTCACTGAAGAAGATATCAAGAACTTACCTTGCTTTCAGGTATGGATATGGTATCAGTTCAACCTGCAGCTTTCACTGGTTAATTAGTACTAAACATGGAGATGTTGCTTTCATCAGAATGAAACTCTTATAGCAATTAAAGCTCCACATGGCACTACTTTGGAAGTTCCATACCCTGATGAGGTAATTTTCCTCATTTCTCTTGATTACTACCAATAACTTGGACTCTTGGAGTTATAATATTGTTGAAAAATATGTGCGCTTAATATGCATTCATGCAAATTATCTCCTCTACAGGCCATTGATTATCCACAGATGAGATATAGAATAGTTCTTCGGAGCACCATGGGCCCCATAGATGTTTACCTTGTCAGGTAATTTACATATGCATTTTTCACCTCTTCTTCTTTATATATTTATTTGGGAAAATTGCCTCTTCTATCACTTAGCACCTCTTAATCATGGCTAACCTCCATCAAGAAAATCCCCTTTTTTTTTAATGAGGTTGTTTTTCTCACTGTTAATTGATTTAGCCAATTTGAGGAAAAGTTTGAGGAGATAAATGCGTCTGAAGTGGAAGCAAGCATTCCTTCAACATCAGGTGCCGATGAGAACGCTACTGCACTACCAGCAACTGAGGAGAGCAGAGGAAATGAAGTTGATTTGCAAGGAATAGAAGCTCAAAGATTATGCTCAGATATGAACACATCACAGGATTTTGTGAGTGGAATCATGAAGATTGTGCCTGATGTTGATGTAAGTCATCGTTGTGATAACAAAGAAATCTTTTTTGGTAAATATTCAGGGATTCAAAGATTTGAAAATTAAAATTTATGATAACATTGAAATTGCTTCAAAGCAAGCACAACATATTACAAGAGTTTCAAATTTTGCATTAATAACAAATTATCATCCTAGAGCCTTTACAATGGCGAGGCAAGTATGGAGAAAATTTCTAGTACTTTCTGAATATAGAACTCAGTACTTCCTGCCACTATTTAATTGTGGGTCCCAGTTACTTAATACGCATATACTAAGTACTCCATATCTTGAGAAAATTAGAAATTTTTGCATGTAAGCATTAATATCTTAGCTTTTCGGTTGAGTGGTTAGAAAAGTACCACACATATTGTTCACATAGAGTAGTTTTCCAATTACTAAATATACCTTTCTTTGGCAATTGCAGAACGATACAGACTATTGGCTATTGTCAGATGTTGATGTGAGCATCACAGATATGTGGAGGATAGAATGTATCCTAACTTAAATCAATTTTAGCTTTCTTTGTTCTCTCTTTTTTTCCCCTTTAAAATATACCATTCTTAACCATGTAACCAAATTCCATGACTCCATACTATAGCTGAGGTTGACTGGAATAGCTTGGATACCATTCATGAAGGCTATGGTATGGCTAATGTCAGTGTGCCAAGACCCCAAACTCCAGTGCCTAGTACAACTGCAATGCCTTTTGTAGCCAGCACCTCAGGGAGTTAAATGAGACAGGGTAATGATCCTGAATAAAGACACTGGGCTCATTGCTCTTTGTAAGATATTGAAAACTGAGATCCCAAAATAGTGCCTCAACAGGATCATTTTCTTGGGTTACCTTCCAAATGTTCTTTTGTGAGCAAGAAGTGCCGGAGAATAGAGGGACAGGGTCTTTTTTACGGTGTTTGTTTAAATAATTTCTGTAATAGAAATAAACGAATAGCTGCTGACAGAATTTAGGCTCTGTATATTTTTAAATTTGTTGCACTGTAGTAAACATCATGACAAATAGATAGCTGTCTATCGTAAAATATTAGTCTAGATTACACGTAATATGTTATGGTGGATTGAAATTCAGCAAATTTTAGAAGTTTCACATCATGCTAATTCTGTGATATACAATATTTTATTTCTCCATTGACCAGTCCATCTGTTGATTTGAATAAATTTTCATAAATTCCAACAAAATATGACGAAATATCAAAAGATTTATGTTGTATGCATTTCTAAACTTGAAATCCATCAAAATATTTTAAAATTCTTCTACTAATGAAATTTTTATTAATCTACTAGTTATTGAGGATATTTAAATTGTGAAGGATTTCATTGAATTTCATCAAAAACTCAATTGAGAACATCTAAATTTTAATGAATTAAAATTTTTCAAAATCTCTTTTGAAGATTTCTAAATTTAGAAAGATTTTTAATATCTATCACATTATTAATTGAGGCCACTCTCTTAAATAACAATTGTGTACAACTTCTATATCTATACATCTCATTTAATAGTTCTCCGCTCGTACAATTAAATTATCACTTGTTACAATTACATGATGTATGTTGAATTGTCTAGAAAATAATGATAGTTATTGTATAGAAATATGGAAGCTTACTTTTTCAAAACAATGCAGAAAAATAAAAAGCTAGAAGCCACAAAAAGGTTGATACAACATATTCGAAAGAACTACAATTTACTAAGGACATTATCTAAAAAAATCAATATTTATTGAAGTTAAGAGAAACAGGAGAATTTCTTGCAATCCTCCACGAACCCTTTATTGAACATGAGAATTGAATGGGAAAAACATATCTAGGAAATATTTCGGATCTTAATCAAACATGGAAAATTTTGAATTTGCAATTGTGATGCCTCCATCAACAAAAAGGTTGTGTCCATGAACGCACTTGGACTCATCGCTCGCCAAGAACAAAACAGCTTCAGCCACATCCTCGGGCTGAAGATAAACACCTTTGAGGATGGAATATACACCCCGGCATCCCTCATCATCCATTTTGTAGAATTCCTTTGATTGACGAGTAGGAACTACGTGTGGTGACACGCAGTTTACGCGAATCCCATACTTTCCAAGCTCCACAGCCATATTCTTTGTGAGTCCCACCACCCCATGTTTTGAAGAAACGTAATTGTGCGAAGAACCACCGCCTATTTTCGAACAAGTACTCGCCGTCGTGATAATGTTCCCACGACGATTCGGGATCATTACCCGGGCAGCATGTTTAGCGCCCAAGAACGCACCTACGAGGTTTACGTTGATAATCTTTTCGAATTCTGATTTTGAGATTTCAAGAATGCTCGGATTTGGGATCCCCCCAATTCCAGCATTATTGTGCAGAATATCTAATTTCCCAAATTTGGAAACAGCTGTGTCAACTGCAGTTTCTACATCGGATTCTTTAGTTACATCACAATGAACATAAGAGGCTGATGATGGTCCCAATTCCTTGCATACCTTCTCTCCCAATTCATCGTTAACGTCTGCAACCAGAACTTTAGCACCATGTTTGGCGAACAATCTGGCAGTTGACTCGCCGATTCCAGTAGCAGCACCGGTGATTAGAGCAACCTTGCCTTGCAGCCTAGATTCATACATTTTGTTAGTGCAATATTCATAAACAATAGTTATACAATTTTTTTTTTCCTTGAATCAGAGTTATACCTTCTAGCCAATGTTGAAGCCATCGATAAACTTCCCGCAGAGTTTCTTTGTGTGAATGTGAATTGGTCCCTCTCTGTACTTTCAAACGTCTTTTATAATGCTAATCTTGAAGAGAATCTTTACGTCTACACGCAAGTCGGCATTAATTTCTAACCAAAAACTGATTTCTAAGAGAACGATTCTCTCTTCCCAACGCAATTAGGAATTTATATCTAACTAAACAGATTTTGAAGATAATAATTCTCTGTTCCCAACGCAAATAGGAAATAATTTCTAACTAAATTCCTGATTTTTAGGACAATTGTTATCTCTTTCCACGTCATTTCCAGCTCAATTAGGCATTTATTTCTATATATTTAGGAGAGTTGTTATCTTTCCTTGTCATATCCAACGCAATTAGGCATTAATTTCTAACTGAACTGAGTTTTAAGATAGTAATTATTTTCTCTTTCCTTGTCATCTCCAACGCGATTAGGCGTTTATTTCTGGCTAATCTTATTTTCCAGATAATTATTATCTCTTTCCACGTCATTTCCAACGCAAGCAGGCATTTATTTCTAACTTGTCTTATTTTACAGATAATCGTTCCTATCTCTTTCCACGTCATTTCCAACGCAAGCAGGCATTTATTTCTAACTATAATCTGATTTTACAGATAAATATTACCTCTTTCCACGTCATTTCCACGTAACTGTGACCACAATAATTGAATTATTGTAATACTTCCAAATAATTTTTACTCATTTTAAAAGAAAGGGGGTATTTATTATTATTTTTTTCACCGTGTAGAAGATAGAATCAATTCACTTCATAGCCGTGTCAAGTCACATTAAAGACCATAAGGTAACATCCACTTACTTTATTTTTTTTTAGCTTAAATGCCGACTAAACTCAACAAAAAGTAAATTCGTACAAGTTAAATTTGTAGCTTAAATTAAATAACGCAGACTGAACTCAAGAAAAAGTAAATTCATACAAGTTAAGTCCAAATTATTATAATTCGAAGAAACATATTTAACAAATATTACTTTAATCCTTGTTTGACAATTATTATTTTCAAACTTTTTTTTTCTATATATTCATTTTTAACCACACATTCATACAATAAAATATTCTATACTTAAATTCAAAACTTTTTTAACTTTTTAATCACGCATTCTCCTAAAAATCACTATTCAAAACTCTATTTTCCTAAAATAAAGGTTGTCAAACAGTAATTTAAGATAATGATCATCATATTACAAAAGATTAGTCTTATCTTCAATATGTGATTAATCCTATCTTAATTGAACTCTGTTGTTTGTTTTAAATCAAGATAAGAATAAGATTGAAGTTGGTAACAGGAAAAAAATAAATAAATAAAATTTACTTCCGGAATCTCTTTTTGATACCCTATCTGTATTTAGACCATTATATAACTCTTTATGTACAAGGTGCATTATTCGAAAGTCTAACCCTATTGTGTCGTGCGGAGTTAAAAGATCCAAGAGTCGTGAACTACTTTTCCTAGACAAGAAGCGTTGACAAGATATGGAAAATAAGCATAGGCTATTCGAATATTCGTATGACTGTCCATATGGTAACTCATGATTCATGGCAACTTGTCAAGAAAATGAACACAAGATTGATCTATAAAAGCTGTTTTGGCAACAAAATTGTGACATTACACGACCAAATAATTCAAAATTTTTTACATTACCAATTCTCTTTCAACTTTCTTTCCAATCCAACCAGCAACAATATGCGTAAGAGCTACAGCAGGAGGAGAAGCAGCCTTGTGGTCAGCAAAGGTCTATGCAAAAGTTCAACCCTTTTCTCCAGTTTCATTGGTCGAAATTCCAATCTGTAATGCACAAAATCCATCCCCATTTCAGTTCCACTACTGTATTCTTTCACTATGATTATGCTAGAAGAACAAAAGTACCTTTTCAAGCAAAGTTTGTACATCCACACCAGCTGAAATTAGAGCATAACATAGCCCAAAAGATATCAAGGATAGAGTAATGGAAGTGACTAAATATGCTCCTCCATATTGTGCTAGAAGCTCCATAGCTTGGCCTCTCTTTGACTTACTTTCTTGCTTTTCTTCATTACCTTGCCCGTTTGTGTAGAATATCTGCATATTGCTTAGAAAAGGAATCATGTTAGGTGCATAAAGATAGTACATCATCTCGTCTAAAAACTTAAATCCTAAAATAGAATATACATGCACAATTTTCATAAAATGGGTAGCGAGTAGACTTGGCCTCGAGAACTAGCCGTTTTTATACTAGTATGTTGAATTATCATCTAAAAGTTATTAGAGAAAAGAAACTTATTTATGTCTACAACAGTGTTGATACTATCATACAAATCTAAAATATAATGAATAAATAAATCTTTTTGAATTGGAAGAATTCTGATTGTTGAAACCTATAAAAGTAGTATAATCAAGAGAATACTGTAAAGAAAAGGGGTGGTTCAAAATATTACCTTCCAAAGACCAGCTTCAAGTCCATAATTCTATGTAATTTCCTCTGCAGCAGAATTATTCTTGATCTGCTCTGTTTTTTCCTTCACAGCTCTGACCCTGAACCTGTTGAAAATGGACTTAGAACTGTATATCGAGAAGTCAAACCTGCACAATTTTCCATTATCGAGCAAAATTGAAGAAAAAACAGGCTTATTGTTCAAGTGTTGAGAAGGGGGTTGCAAAGTGTGGCCACTGCATAATGGCCACATAGACGAGAGAACTGACAAATATCTCTATCTCTGACCCCTTTATATACAGCACAATTTACATTTATCTTAAAACCCTAAACGTTTTAATTACGGAATTCGGCGCAAATGGTCCTTAACATTTATTTCTTGGCTTGAACATCCATAAATTATGTGTCTTGGGGCACAATTGATCATTTTTCAATAAGAAAAGATCAATATGTCCTGAATTTTAATTAGAATAAATTGTAGCTAGGTCCCTAGCCATTGGAAAATTTAAAAAGCCCCAAATCTTTTATGTAATAATATTGATTTTTAACATACTAGTTGTATCATTATAGTCGTCCCAATAAATAATTCCAAAATGAAAGAAAAAGTTAAATTATATGATATGAAAAACTTGAATAAAAATTAAGATAAACGAATAACAAAATGACTTTGATAATTTTAGAACATTTAACCAATATCGTTGATAGTTGTATATGAATCGACACTGGTCAAATAACATTCAACTCATAAATCAAATATAATTTTGTCCAAAGCTTGGTGTTTGACAAGTGTAAACCGAACATTTATCTTGGCTCTTTGCGAGGCTTTTGTTAGTATTTTTGAATTCGATTCTATTGATTTTTGTTTCTTTAGGATAAACCTCTAACGTTTACGATATTGTTAGTGAAATTGATGAAAGAGATCAGAAAAGCAAGTTTACATGGCATTGAAATGAAAAGGAAAAAGAAAGAAATAAAGTGGACCCGAACGTAATGTGAACCCGCGTAGTTAATTGCTACAAAACCCACGATCAAGATTGAAATCGTCCCCAAGAAAGCCAAAGCAAGGTTTTGGATTAAACCGAATGAACTTGGAACCAAGCAACTCGAATTGCTGACGATGTGCGGATCTCTTGATTACGCAAATTGATTAAATATAACCCGGTTTTGTAGATCTGACCCAATAATGTTGAATCAAACAACCGTCACAATCATTTAGATATGCCGACCTTTTGATTACAAAGAATTATAGAATCAAAATCCAAGTTTGAACGCCATAAGACTATTAATCTTGATGAGTTCGATTTTCGTTCCACCCAGAACAAGAATTGAGGCAAAGCTTCCAGAAAGAAAATTCTCTATTTTAATTCATCATGTCAAAAGTTCTGAATACAATGGAAAATATAATCCCTATCTATACTAAAACCCTAGAATCTAATTAAAATTGAAAAACGTCCAATATAACTTAAATATGGCAAAAGATTAGACTTCTAATCAAAATAGGAAACTTGCGAAATTTCTGAAAATTCTGTCCCCGAAGCTACCTTATGCGGATCACATCATTCACTCTCTCTTCGAAAAGATTCAACCTCCAATCTGAACATTGATCATCCAAATTGTAGCCTTTATTCACCGATCATGGCAAGAACATGAAATGGCCCATCACCTCTCAGATGTAATTTGGACCTCCTTTGAACTCAAACTCGCCGCCTTCGGTTGTAAACCCAATAACCTTCACCTGGATCAAAATGTGCTCGCTTGATCTTGCAAGTTTGGAATGCTCCAATAGCAACTCCATTTGATGAATATCCATGCATTATCCTTGCTTTACTTGGTCTACGCACTTGAAACAATGTCACTATCGATGTTCCAATGCTGCCCCGCAGTTCATCTTCTTCATTCAACTCTTTACATAGAACTTTGACCAATGCCTTTGAAACTCCTTTGTCTCCTCCGGAACCACAAAATCAATTTTCGATAAATAAGATATCTCCAAGTCAAAAAGTTGTTGCTGTATTTTATCCACCAATTGATGCTCGATGCTCGGCTTGTAAGGGATTCCAATTGAATTAATTTCTGGAATTAAATCTTCGGTAGCCTGTAAAACAGAATTATCCAAAATAGGTAAGGAATTGTTAGTTATCACCAACACCTCCTCAACTCCACTCTCCCTTCCATTTAAGCACACTTCCAACCCTTCTTTCATCTCTAAAGACTCTTCTTCATTTTCACCCCGTAACTCCAATTCCATCTTTTCATTTTCACTCTCGACATTCTTTTCACTTTCCCATGGCTCTACACCCTTTTTCTCACAATGAACCACCTCACAATTTTCTCTTTTACACCTTTGCTCCACCATGCGATTAATTTGAGAATTTATTAAGTCACGAATCTCCGCCAATTCTCGCTTATAATCCAACCCAACACTCTTGCTTGATATCCTTACGGCACACCTCGCAGCAGGCGTTTTCTTTTCCCTTGGATACTCATCCCCGTAACATCTAGTAGGCTTCTTACTAAATTTTATTTTTCGTCGATCCCTCTTATAATGATTTGGCGCATATCGTCTCCTCATAATATGCCTAACTCATCCTAAGTTTCAATACGCCTCTCACCATACCTTCGCCTAGATATTGTAAACTCATCCTACCAAGTTATTTCATATTCTACGAATGAGCTCACAACCAATTTCAACTCCTTCTCCCTAGAATAATCATAGCACCCAAACAATAATTCAATCTTTTCTTCCCATGCCACGTACCCCTCGGGATCATTCTTACCCTTAAATTTTGGAATTGTCGTTTTTATACTCCTATCTACACCATATCCAAAATAATTTCTATCATGTTCTACAAGCCTATCGCCTCTATTTTTCATTCCCCGTAAATCAGCCCCAAACATCGCATCATCATCTATGTCACAACCATATCCATATGTCTTACAACTTTTCATCCCAGGCTCCAATTTATCCCGTCCCCGCACATTAGACACCTCAACACATTGATCCCTACGAAATTCATTCAATTTCGAATCCATCCTATATATTGTATCTTCCATATCTCCAAGTAATTTCTCAAATCTCTGCACCATCCTTTCAGACATTAACTTGGTTTTCAATTGGGTTGTGTGAAAATTGTGGTTCCAAAACTCAAAAAAGATTTGAACTGGAAAACTTTGATTTTGGAATTTTTTTAATTCAAGAAAGTGGTTATTGAATTGGAATTTGACCTGAAAAAATAAAATTTTGATTCAAGAAATAGTCGGCAAATTTTTTTGACACTTTTTTTCGATACTATACGGAATGAACAGTACATACAGTAAAAAAAAAATTTGGAACTTTTTTTTAAACTCTTTGGATAGAAAATTTAACTACGACACTGACACAACAGACAGAAGTTGAAATCAACTCAAATTGAATCCAAAAACAATTTTTGAAATTTTATTGGAATTTTTCTGGATCAAAGACTCAAAACTAATGACAGACACCAAGAACACAAAGGCAAAAGCGGAAAACAATCAAAGACTCAAAAACCAAAAAAAGAAAAAGAAAAAAGAAAATATATAACCTTGGATTGGTGCCTAAGCTTTGATACCAATTGATGTGAACCCGCGTAGTCAATCGCTATCAAACCCACAATCAAGATTGAAATCATCCACAAAAAGCCAAAGCAAGATTTTGGATTAAACCCAACGAACTTGGAACCAAGCAACCCGAATCATCAACGATGTGCGGACCTCTTGATTACGCAAATTAACTGAATATCACCCGATTTTGTAGATCTGACCCAACAATGCTGAATCAAACAACCGTCACAATCATATAGATGTGCCGACCTTTTGATTACAAAGAATTATAGAATCAAAATACAAGTTTGAACGCCACAAGACTATTAATCTTGATAAGTTCGATTTCGATCCACTTAGAACAAGAATTGAAGCAAAGCTTCCAGAGAGAAAATTCTCTATTTTAATTCATCATGTCAAAAGTTATAAGTACAATGGAAAATATAATCCCTATTTATACTAAAACCCCATAATCTAATTAAAATTGGAAAACGCCCAAAATAACTTAAATATGGCAAAAGATTAGCCTTCTAATCAAAATAGGAAACTTGTGAAATTTCTGAAAATTTTGTCCCAAAACTGCCTTATGCGGATCACATTAGAATGCATGAAAATACTTGGAGAAATTAGAATACCAAGCTTGGTTAGGAGTCCAACTCGTTCAACAGATCTCAATTCGAAATTATGTACCACGAGTTATGTTCGTTTTGGTTTGGGCTGCCACACAAGGCAAAATCAGGCACTTGAGAGAAATTCTATTTTTAGCCCCGAAAATTCTATCTATTGTACAGTCTTAGGGTCTTTTAGATCATTAGATACACAGTTTTTGCACCTTAATTTTCGGTCTGTATATACTAGAACCCCATCTACTTCATAAGGGAGCTTGGAGGAGATGCAAATTTAGACCTATGGTTTGGTGAATTGAAGAAGAATTGGGATTTCGAAGTTCCCACTTAAAGATTCCACAGCCTTTCTCGTTTTTATATACTGGTCGTGTCAAGCTAAACTCTTATTTGCTTGATCACTTCGAATATATAGCTAAATTTTCATTAGCTAGGATGGTAATGTAAACCACTCTTTTGAAACCTTAATTTAATTTTCCGTTTAGAACTTCAAATATGAGTATTGATTGATTACTTGTTATTGATTTTATTGCTTTCAATTTTTTTAGCCATCTATTGAATGATTTACAGACTGTATTGACATTGAGGGGTGATGTTCATGTTTAGCTCAAATAATTAACATGTACACAATACTAAAAAAATAACAAGTAACATAATCTTGAGAAATATAACAACTTCACAAATAGAAATAGATTTTAACTTTATTTGAGAAAAATTGTTAAATAATTTAGGATATCATCGTCAACATAAAAAAGAAGTGTCAATTATGTGATTGTTTGAATTAAAGTAGATAAATATAGGAGAAATCAAAGTTACATTTGAAACTTCTCCAAACTTCTCAAAGTATTTTTTACTTTTAAGTAATTTTTAGTTAAATTTAAAATTCATTTAAAATTTGGTATAGACTATATTCACTTAGATTCATAACTAAACATTAGTTCTCATGGAATCAACACTCCATTTGCTCTTGATTACTTATCCACAATATTGAGCACTTATGATTTCTAGACAACAAATGAGACAGTCATTACTAAACTGAAAGACATGTTGAAAATCGAGAATTTTAAATTACTAAGAATTTTTCAATGAAAATACCACTAAATGACCACAACAAGATGTCCTTTTTAGTAAATGTGCATTATATATTATTATTTTTTTTACATAAAATCCAACCATTACTTGATAGGTGCACAACTTTTGAGGCAAATCT